GGAGGAATGTTTGTTCAATGCTCAAGTGCTGGGGTGTCTGAGGGGTCTGGGAAAACAACATCTCAGGTCTGTAACAAAGTGTCAAAACGAAAAAATGTCTTGAGGAAGGTCTTGGCGGGTGTCGCAGAAGTGGCGGTGAGGAAGCAGTCTTCAGCAGTTCTGTGATGTAGATGGCGAGGGCGTCAGCTTGATTGTCCCAGTAGCAGGTTGTGTCTGGTACACGATCTGATGATGAGGTCTGATCCGGATAGCAGATCGCAGACTGATCTTGATGTCCATGTCAAAGGTGCTTCTCCAGAAGTCTGCGAGTCCAAGGTGCCGGCCAAAGGGAACAGAATGGTGACCAACCAGCTGTCTTATCTCCTCATACTGAGCTGCAGCATGCCAGAGTCCAAGGTGCCNGCTGCAGCATGCCAGAGTCCAAGGTGCCGGCCAAAGGGAACAGAATGGTGACCAACCAGCTGTCTTATCTCCTCATACTGAGCTGCAGCATGCCATCGTCCTCGTGCGCTTGCCATTAAATCCGTTATCGTGGGCAATGCGCAGGGGCCACATGTAGGACTTGGACAAGAGAGACAAGGATGTGGGAGAGGACAGATGGGAGAACGGGGTGAGATGGAGGCAAGAGCGGATCAGACAGAGGGAGGTCAAGGGGCAAGGGTTTTGCTGGGTACAGGGGATGTGTGTAGTGCAGGGAGGCAGGGTTGAGGCAGGGTTTAGGCGGGGCTTAGGCAGGGTTTAGGCATAGTGGGTAGCTAGGATATAGGATGGGCGCGATCATAGGCGCGAACAATTTTCATGGCATTCTTGAGGTTAGCAAGAGGTTCCCATGTGGATTCTTCGTCAGGGTATCCTATCCATTCGCATTTTGTGATTGGTTCAGGGTGGTCAGATACCTAAGTAGTTCTTCGTCCTATGATGGCTTCGACGACGAATTCAGGGCCTGTGGGTAACATGTTTGGTGGAGGTCTAGGATATGGGCGGTCAGCGAATTGGGGTGGGGATTCATGGTATTCTTTTAGGTATTCTACGTGGAAGACGGGGTGGACACGACGCATGTCAGGGGGGAGTTGGAGTTTGTAGTTGACGGGGGAGGTTTGTTCAATGATGGGAAAGGGTCCGAGCCACTTGTTCGAGAGTTTTTTGGACATACCGTGTTCAGGTTCAAAGCGTTTGGCAGAGAGCTAGACCTTGTCCCCTTTTTTGAATGACACGTCACGTCTGTGTTTGTTAGTCTTGTTAGCTTGTTGTTCTTGTGTTCGTTCAAGGGCTTCGGTGGCTTCTCTGAGGGGTCTGTTCATTGTTGCTACCCATTCATTGAGAGAAGAGAAGGGGGTGGAGGGGTTAAGTTGCGAAGGAAGCAAAAAGTTAGAGGGCACGAGAGGATGGTCGCCAAGGTCGAGGTAGAATGGGGACATGCTAGTGGAGGGACAAACGGCATTGTTGTAGGCGATCTCGACGGCTGTGAGCAACTGGTCCCAATCGTGTTGGTGTGGCTGACAATACTTCCGCAGGATTCTTTGGAGAGTATCGTTCATTTTCTCGGTTTGTCCATCAGTCTGGGGGCGGAATGCAGTGCTATATTGGAACGCGGTTCCATATGTTGTGAAGAGGTGTTTCCAAAATTGTGAGAGGAAGCGGGGATCACAATCACTGATGATGTTCTCGGGGAGGCCAACATGATCAAAGAAGAGAGTGGCAACGTCTTTGGCATTGTGCGAAGTAGTGCAAGGGATGAAGTGTGCGCGTTTAGTCAAGCAACAGACGATGACATCGATGCAGTTATGGCCATGGTCGGTCTTGGGTAGACCGCACACGAAGTCCACAGGGATGGACTGCCACCGGTGAGTGGGAATAGGCAATGATTGTAACTTCCCGAGCTTGGCCCGGTTCGAAGGGTTGACAGCTTGGCATGTGGGGCATGAGCAAATGTAAGCTTTGACGTCGGCGAGTAGGGAAGGCCAGTGGAAGTAGCGAGAGATGGTGTCAAAGGTTTTCTGGAATCCGAGATGTCCCGAAGTTTTGGCGTCGTGGTGCTCGGCCAAGAGCTGGGTACGCAGATTACGTGCGTCGGGGATGCAAAGTCGGCTAGTGCCTTTGGTGTCGATGTAGAGAAGATTGTCGAGGAGGGAGTAGTCGGGGACATGGTCGAGGTCACGAAGCTTGTTGTAGATGGTGGAGAAGTCAGGGCATGAGAGGTAGTCTTGTGTATATCGTTGATGGAGCGATGGGAGGAGCTTAGTGTGGGTCATGGAGGCGTAGACTTTCTCAGGGAGCTTGTGGTCGGGGCGTCGGGAGAGGGCATCGACAACACGGTTGCTTTTGCCGAGAGTTTGGCAAATGGTAAATGTGAATTGGGCAAGAAAGTCTAACGAGCGGGCTTAGCGGAGCGTGATGTCTTTCTTGGTGAGAATGGAGGAGACTATGGTGTTGTCGGTGCAAATGGTGAAGTATTGCCCATCGAGGTACGAGCGCCAGACTTTGAGGGCGTGAATCACGGCGAGGAGTTCCTTCTCGTTGGAGGGGTAGTTCATCTCCATGGGAAGGAGCTTCTTGCTTGCGAAGGTGATGGGGTATTCGCCGGGTGGGGCCTCGGGGTGGGTGGGGGAGTCTTTGATGGAGGGGGTTTCGGAGGTGTCGCAAGGAAAATGTTGCGAGAAGACGGCTCCAATGGCGAAGTCCGATGCATCAGTGGAAACGTACAAATGTCGAGAGGAGTCGGTGATCTTGAGGACAGGGGCCGTGGTGATGGTTTGTTTGAGGAAGTGGAAGGCGTTTTGGCGGCGGTCGTTCCAATTGAAGGGCTCGTCCTTGCGTGTGAGTTTGTGGAGTGGGTAAGAGATGTTGGAGAAGTTGCGGATGAAGGGGCGGTAATAGTTGGCAAGGTCGAAGAATGAGCTTAGTTGGAGTAGGGTCTTGGGCGGGGGGTACTCAACGAGGGCAGTGACCTTCGAGGGATCCATGCGGATTCCTTCAGCAGAGACGATGTGGCCAAGGTATTCTACGCTAGAGGCAGCAAAGGTGCATTTGCTGAGCTTGGCGTAGAATTTTTGCTCTTTGAGGATATAGAGAGGACTTGGCGAAGGTGTTGAAGGTGGGACTCGAAGGTGGGACTCGAAGGTGGGGCTATAGACAAGGATATCATCAAGGTAGACGGCGACACAGACTTCGAGGAGGTCACGAAAGATGTGATTCATGGTGGATTGGAATGTGGCGGGGGCGTTGGTGAGTCCGAAGGGCATCACGAGGTGCCCGAAGCAAGAACAGTTTTGTGGGTGTCCTCCTCGCGGATGCGAATCTGGTGGAAGCCATTGCGGAGGTCAATCTTGGTAAAATATTTGGCTCCACGGAGGCGATCAAGCAGCTCGGAGATCCTAGGTAGGGGGTACTTGTTCTTGATCGTGATCTGATGCAAGGCGCGGTAGTCTGTGCGCATCCTTAGTTCTAGGGCTCCGCCTTTCTTTACGAAAAGGCAGCTTGTATCGAAGGGGGAGCAACTTGGCTTAATGAATCCTTTTTTCAAGGAGTTCATTGAGTTGGCGCTTCATTTCTTCGGCTTCCGGGATGGAGAGTTGGTATGGAGGGCGGCACGACGGAGAGTGGTCAGGTTCCAAATCAATGGTATGAGATACACCACGATCCAGGGGTAATCCGGCAGCCAATGACTTGGGAAAAACGTCTTTGAACTCGTCGAGGATGGAGGTGAGGGCGGGGTCGGAGGGGGGAGCTTGATCGGGTTTGTCCGTAGGGAGAAAATCGTCGGGACATTCGCGATCAAGGACAAGGCAGTAGTAGGTGGAGTCGGGGTTGTGACGGGCCATGTGGAGAAACTGGTGGGGAGTGATGGAGTTTTGGGAGGTAGGTTGGGGGAAATGGGGAATGTCGATGGGCGTGTCTAGGGGGTTGGTGAGGCAGAAGAAGATGGGGTGAAACACGTATGGCATGTAGTGGTCCAGCCAAGGTGTTCCCAAAACGATGTTGCACATCACGTGCATAACATCGAATGAGACGTGACTACAGAGGGTTTCGACAATCATGGTGGTCTCGGGAACCGTGCAGTCCACTGCGACGGCTGTGTGTTTGTCCCCTAGATAAATGGTAATCAGGGAGTCGTAACCGGTAGAGATGAGACCGGCTTTTCGGACACACGCGTCTGCGATAAAGTTGTCGGTAGCTCCAATGTCAAGAAGGGCCCGAAACTTGGTTGTAGACGCACCAAGGGTGGCGGCGATAAACTTGAGGTGGAAGCGGGATGAGTAAGCGGTGGAGATGATGGCGTAGAGGCGGCGTTGTTCGGTGCCTAATCTAACAAGCTGATCGTGTCGGGCTTGTTTCTCAAAAACATCAAAGAAGGTGACGGAGGATGGATTCAGGAGAAGGGTAGAGGAACATGTACTGGTGGGAGCGGCGTCGGGTGATGCTCGGGGATCGTCCGGTGGGAAGTGTGTCACCGAGGATGGGGGGGGCAGACGAATTGTCGATGCCAACTGGGCCATTGGTGGAATAGAGGTCGTCACCAATGGGATGGCTGGCAGACTAGTCGTCAATGCCGGGTCGCGTTCGTGGTGATAATTGGGACAATGTTCAAGTGGAGGAGGGACCGGAAGTGGCGGATGGTAGGGTCACGGAAGTGGCGGGTCAAGGAACCGCGGACCTGAGTGCTTGACTTGTGAATTGTTTGGCCCTTGGACAGTTTGTCTGTTGATGGCCTAATTGTCGGCACCGGAAACATCCACCCTTAGCTTGGAGGTTGGTTCGCTCCTTCGGTGTGAGTTTCGTGAGACGGGTTGGGTGGGTGTTTATAGGAGGACGGCTGGTGCGTTCTCTCTTTTCCATCCGCATAAGGTGGATGGCAGAGAGTTCGTCAGAGGAGAGCGATGTGGTGTCTAGTGGATCGGAAAGGATGTCGGGGTCGGGGGCGGAGAACTTGTCCGAGGAGGCAGAGAGAGAGGTTTCGTTAGTGATGTTGGGCGGGGTGGGGCGGATGTGAGTGCGTCCTTGTACGGGGTGAGGAATTTGTCTAGGTGAATGGCGCGTTTGAAGAGATCGGAGAGGGACATCGGGGGGTCGTGGACGAGGGAGGCGCCGAGGTCCTTGCGACATCCCCGTTTGAAGCGGGAGATGAATGCGGCATCGTTGACGTAGTCAAAGGGGATGTGTTGCCGCAATGTACGAACGTATTGGACAAAACGGTCGGTCGGGCCATTCTGTCGAAGGTGACAGAGTTGCTCAAAGTAGTCATCAACCGTCTTATGTGGTCGGAATGTGCAGGTGATGAGGTTGACCCACTCGAGGAAGGAATGGGGTTCCACGTTTGCTTGTTGGCGGCTAGCTCGTTCGGTGTACCACGAACGCGTGGCGCCTTCCTGTAACCTGGTGCTGGCAATAGGGAGCTAGTGTGTGACAGGGACGTTGTGGAGGGAGAAGGCGTCGTAGAGTTTGTTAAGGAAGACGAAGACGTCCCCGTGGGGAAGGCTGGTGGAGGGGGGGATGCCCATTGATCGGAAGGATGGGGGAATGTTACCCGTTAAGGGTGTTGTGGTGGAGAGGGTGTTGAAATCAAGTTTGGGTGAGGAGGACAGTACCTGAGAGAAATCGGTGGTGGGGTTTTGACTGGGGGGGGAATGGTCGACGACTGCGTGAAGGTCTTGGGCAGTGGAGTGACCGCAGTGGGCGTGGTGGTGGATGAAGGCGGGGGTGTGGATGGCGTGCTAGCGGAGAGGGCGGTGGATGTGGAGGAGAAAGATTGCGGAATTGTGGTGGAAACCGAGGTGGGGGCGGGGAGACGTGGTTGTGACGATCTGGATGGCGGGGGTTTGATTTTCAATGGCGGTCACACGAGTGGAGATGGTGGAGACAGATGTTTTGATGTCGTTGATGGATGAGTGGATGGCGTGGTTGTGACGATCTGGATGGCGTGGTTGTGATGATCTGGATGGCGTGGTTGTGACAATCTGGATGGCGGGGGTTTGATTTTCGATGGCGGTCACACGAGTGGAGATGGTGGAGACTGATGTTTTGATGTCGTCGATGGATGAGTGGATGGATGTCACCATGCGGAGGAGTGTCGCGAGATCGGTTGCGGCATCGGGTGCTAGTGTTTGCTCACGTGCGAGGTTGTAGGCGATGTTGTCGATGGAGTCGGTGCGGATGCTGGACATATCACTGTTGGATGATTGGGCCATGGTGGGGGAGGAAGTGGTGGTAGCGGCAGATGAGGTGGCAGCGACAGCTGAGGTGTTAGCAGCAGATGAGGTCGAGGCGGCGGCAACAGCGGCGGTGTCGGCGGCTGCGCGTTGAGAGTTCCTGGTTGTGCGTGTCATGACCGAGGGAGGGTTCCTATTTACAAGGGTAGAGTAACATCAATTGATTTAGCGATGAAGATAATTTCCAAATAGAATTTGCAAGAGAAGAGTTAATTTTGAATGAGTTACTTTGGAATTGAATTTATTCGAAATTAATTTGAGTGTATTTTTCAAGAAAATTCGAAAAAGGTTTTGAGAGAGAAAATGGATTTTTCATGATTTTTCAAATGAAGAAAAATAATAATTAATTTCGAGAAGAAAAATAAATTCTGACTAAATTTGTTCGGATTTACGTTCGGGGTAGAATTTTATAATGGAGAAAGATGTTGAAATTTCGAAAAGGATGATTAATTACGGAAACCGGAATTATTCTTTTCTGAAAATCGAATTTCCATTCTATCTCGCAAATTTTTTTTTGAAAACTGAAATCTTGCGAAGCCTACCAACATTTCGTTAGGCATATTCGGAGGTTGCCATATTCTCAGAAACTGGATTTAGTTCTTTCTGAAAATCGCATCTCTACTCTATTTCGCAAAAAAAAAAATTCAAGATCGCACTTTTGTGAAAGTCGAATCTTTGCGGAACCTAGCCTAGATCTCGTTCATAGTACTCTTCTGGCATGTCTCACTCATAACAGATCGACA